CAGAAAGGCAGTAGCAAGTTAATACTGGCAGTATTGTGTGTCAGTATAGCAGGAACCATTGCCGCCTTGCTGACACAAACCAGTAGTGGACAGACTGGACTCTTTAATGAGCTCTGCTGCATGCCACAGGAAATGGAAGTCCCACTGTGAATGGGAGCTTGTGCTCCCCAGGTTGACATTTTGCTGATATGGAAGCTGGCTGACCCGCAGGCTCCTGATTCCCATCGCCTGGCGTGCCCTGAGCAGTTCTATTTATGGTAACCAGCTCCAAGCACACAATCCAATTACATGGAGGTTACTGTTTGGCTGTCTGGACGGGGACCTGTCTTTATACCAGGAGGCAGGGAAAAATTGCTCCTGTGCCAGGCTCTGCACTATTCAATTTAGGTTGTTATTGGGTTATTACTCTGCCGCAGTAAATTATTGGGAAGCTCTTGGCAGGTGCCACAGAATATATCTTTAATCTGCCGACGACCGTCAGCTTTCTCTGCATCATACCCCTGTGACTTTTTGCACACTGGTGTTGTTGAGAAACTCTTACCCTGGAACTGTTCACTGAACTTGGGAGTGGTAACGTGGTATTCTGCTCACTAAGAACAGGGTGTTCAGGCAGCTTTAACATCAGATGGATTCCAATAAGACAGGGTTAGGAGAGAAGGGCTGAATGGGTCTAGCGGTGTTGCTTGTAACTGATTCCATTCAGGTACGGTTGGTGTCTGGTTATCCATGACTGATTAGCCTGGGCTACATGTCATAGTCCCTGGTGTCTGCACAGATGGTATCCTCTAACATTAGGATGTTGATACTAGCCTACATCGGGTCATTTCATTAAAGGGATACTGCAAGTTTTTCTACCTACCCAGAGTCAGATGAACTTGTGGATACCATTTATATGTCTATGCGTGCAGTATGAAGGAAGTTAAGAGGTTGTTTCGCGAGCCAACTAACTAGCGTTAGCGCAATAACTGGAAGTCTACAGGTACAGTAGCATACGCTAGCGTACTTATAGACTTCCAGTCATTGCGCTAACGCTAGTTAGCACTGGCTCATGAAACTTCCTTCAACTTCCTTCATAGTGCACACATAGACGTATAAATGATACCACAAGTTCATCTGACTCTGGGTAAGTAGAAAAATGGCTTCATTTTAAGGGCAACTCTTGTAGAGATTTTAAGAAAATAAATTGGTCTATTCTGTGTGCAAATTAATAGAAAGTGGACAAATCCTTTCTGTAAAGACGCGTTTCTCTTTGGACAGGCCAGATATAATCCCCACCCTGACATGGGTGTCTGTGATGGATCGCTGGAGGAAATTGGATCTCTTATAAAAAGACAAGCACTAAGGGAGGTACATAGCCTCATGCCTTCAGTCAACAGGCCACTCACTGGGACGTTTCCTCAGTGGGTCTTTTCAAAAGGCTTGCTCTGCAGTTCTGGCGAAGGGCAGTACAGTAGGTCAACCACAAATATAATTACAAACACTCTTTTGTGGAGGTGTCGGACGAATTAGACCCCACAACTGTTTAGCCAGCCAAACGCCACAGCTGCAACCCCCCCCCCCCCCCCCCCCCACTGACTGCTCTTCCTTTGGCCGCAAGCCCCCACACACATGATTTCCATGTGTTTGATGCCTTACCATTCACTCTGTTCCAGCCACTCAGCAGCCTCCACTGGTCTGAAGTCATTGGAGAAAGTGGCCAACTGAATAAAATAAGGTGTTTACAATCAGACAGAAGATCCAAAAGGCTTTGTCTGCTCAATTAGGGGAAAAGATGCAATTGATTTTATCATGGCTGACGCTTTCCTCCCTCCTCACATAGGCAGGCGCCTGCTGAGCACGCTTCTGAGAGCAGCAATTCAAACGTTTTCACAGCAATGACCTTCCAAATGGTGCACTTTGACATTATTTTCATTGTTTATTTCAGATCCTAAATTACATCTCAGCGACAGGCCAACTGTCAGAGGTAGAGCCTTCTCTCCACAAACAGGTTGGCTGAAGTCCTATTGTGTACGCTGTTTGGCCCTGTGTTTTTGTCAGTGGCCGTTTGCAGCACAAAGAGAAAAATCAGTTTATGGATGTTATTTACAGCCCGTGAAAGGGCAGCAGTAGCAGCAGACATGCTAAAAACCCGCTGCTGGTGGAGCTTTTATAGGAGTCTGTGGAAAGGACCACCTGTTTGTTGTAGAGGGAGTTATTGTCTGTTAGAGATGAGCAGGCATGTGTTTAAGAACATGATGTCTCTTGGATAAGATGGACATTATGGATCATTTAAAAGTGTCAATTGTATTTTTTTGAGATACTTATCCATTATAATTTAACAGAAGCTCAATTCCCCTTCTCTTTCTGAATTACAAATACAAAGGCCATGTCCGAGAAGACTAGGCTATCACATCTGGTGGAATAGACTGGATTGGAAAAAAATGGTAGGCCTAGGCTATATTAAGCTAAGTGCTAACATGATCACAATGTGCTCGTGTAAGGCATGCATATTAGCTGCGCTTTATTTAGCCTAAATGATGGTGTTAGGCTATGCCTTTCGTCTGGCATCATTCAAGTGTTTTCTTAAGCTGCCCTGTTGATGCAGGGTTGTCAGTGTCCACTTGACAGAGCACGGCTATGTTAACCCTGTGAGGGTGAGTAGTGAGGCCAGTTATTCTTCATCCGTCACCAGTGACACTATCAGCAGTCCTTGTGGAATGAGCCAGTCACTCAGAACAGTGGGGCCACATTGGCCGTCAATCAGGATTTACGTTTCCCAGGGTTGCCATGGTGACTGGGAAATGGTTATGAAGACCCGGGGTTTCTGTGCAACGCTATAGCACCTTTGGGATTATGGTGGAGTTTGGGCAGCTTTCAGATAATGTAGTGTTGAAAAGGATGGATAATTGTCCCAGTTCAGTCAAAATTTCGGAAACAAAATGCATCTTTTGCTACAAGCATTTGGTTGTATTTAATCAAGAAAACAATGTCTCTACTACTGGGTAAAGATACATGTGGCTCCAGGCTAAATAAGCCTATTTTACAGCTATTTACTTTCTTTACCTTACCCCCGACATTCTGGACTACCAGTTTGATTGAATAGGTCCCAATGTAATGGTGTGGGTTTTTTATTCTCTTTTCTTGCCAGTAAAGACATCACAAGCCTCCCTGATCCGAATAGGGTTAGATCAAGCTGTAGGCCTATGGCAGTTGTGAATAGGGTTAGATCAAATCAAATCAAATTTTATTGGTCACATGCGCCGAATACAACAGATGCAGACATCACAGTGAAATGCTTACTTACAGCCCTTAACCAACAGTGCATTTATTTTTTACAAAAAAAGTAAAAAAATAAAACGACAACAAAAAAAGTGTTGAGAGAAAAAAGAGCAGAAGTAAAATAAAGTGACAGTAGGGAGGCTATATATACAGGGGGGTACCGGTGCAGAGTCAATGTGCGGGGGCACCGGCTAGTTGAGGTAGTTGAGGTAATATGTACATGTGGGTAGAGTTAAAGTGACTATGCATAAATAATTAACAGAGTAGCAGCAGCGTAAAAAGGATGGGGTGGGGGGGCAGTGCAAATTGTCCGGGTAGCCATGATTAGCTGTTCAGGAGTCTTATGGCTTGGGGGTAGAAGCTGTTGAGAAGTATTTTGGACCTAGACTTGGCACTCCGGTACCGCTTGCCGTGCGGTAGCAGAGAGAACAGTCTATGACTAGGGTGGCTGGAGTCTTTGACAATTTTGAGGGCCTTCCTCTGACACCGCCTGGTATAGAGGTCCTGGATGGCAGGAAGCTTGGCCCCAGTGATGTACTGGGCCGTACGCACTACCCTCTGTAGTGCCTTGCGGTCGGAGGCCAAGCAGTTGCCATACCAGGCGGTGATGCAACCAGTCAGGATGCTCTCGATGGTGCAGCTGTAGAATCTTTTGAGGATCTGAGGACCCATGCCAAATCTTTTCAGTCTCCTGAGGGGGAATAGGCTTTGTCGTGCCCTCTTCACGACTGTCTTGGTGTGTTTGGACCATGATAGTTCGTGAATAGGGTTAGATCAAGCTGTAGGCCTCTGGCAGTTGTGAATAGGGTTAGATCAAGCTGTAGGCCTATGGCAGTTGTGAATAGGGTTAGATCAAGCTGTAGGCCTATGGCAGTTGTGAATAGGGTTAGATCAAGCTGTAGGCCTATGTCAGTTGCAAGAATAGAGGACAGGTGCTTCGTTTTTTGGATTGCGGTCTGCACTGTCTTCAACAAGGTCTGGCGGGTCTAAAATGTTTTTATATTTTCTCATCAGAATTTGCGATAGCCCTCTATCCATTAAAAAAAATAAGATGCCCCCTTGACTCTGTAGCTTTTGTTCCAGTAGTTGTTTACAAGCTGGACAGAGTGAAGTGACCAATGTAGGTGTGTTTTCATTTCTATACAGTTTGGGTTTAGTTTGAGTCATTTCATTGTAGATGTAGGTCTCAGACACTCCAGTAGCGATTGCTGACCGAGAGTCCTTGGCACCTCTGAACAGAGTGCCGGCTGTAATTTGCCAACCGAGTGTGCACTGATTTTTTTACATGTAGAATTGCATGAAAATGTCAGCAGTCAGACATCTACAGCAGGTGGTCCCTTAAACACAACGAACTGAACGATTGGCAGACGAACGCTAGATCCACATTAGTGCAATGTGTGCGAGCCTTTAGGTCGTTTTTTCATTGGCAATTAAAACAAGTCTTGAACCTTTATTCTTCATTGCTGTGAGGAGTTGAAATGTTTTAGCACCTTCAAACTTTCTGTGAATTATAGTTGTCTTCTGTGGTGCTACTCAGCCCTTTTTGTTTTATGGTATTGGTTGGCTGAGCATTACCTAGTGTATTGGATAGATGTAACAATTTTTCTCTTTTCCCCTCAGGGCAAAATGTGGGTAAATAGGAAGGGGATACCTAGACCCTAAGGATTCTCTCAACCCAGTCCCTCAGCAGTCAGAGAAGGTGGCGGACCTCATTGAGGCAAACCTGGGCCGTTGGCACTAAAATGTCCCTAAGTGGTGGCACTGCAGGCGGGAAAGGTGTGGACTCGAATGCGGTGGACACTTACGACAGCGGTGATGAGTGGGACATCGGTGTAGGAAATCTGATTATCGACCTTGACGCTGACTTAGAAAAGGACAAACTCGAGATGTCTGGAACCAAGGACGGAGGGGGTATGACGGCTCCGCCCAGTGCTGTCGCAGCTTTGCCTGACAACATACGATTGGTTAGTCCTGTACCTGGCCCTCAAGGCAAGGAGAGCAAATCTAAATCCAAACGCAGCAAAAACTCAAAAGACAATAGTAGCAAGGTCTCAGCTGGAGACGGGGCCAAGAAAGAAGCGCAGACACGAACCCAAGGGGAACCGACAAACACTGCAGCTACTGCATTAGCCACTAGCAACAACTCCACCACTGGCAAAGGAATGGAGAAGGGTGGAAAAGTCTCTCGGAACAGTGGTAAAAAAGATAAGGAAGGGGCAAGTGGGAAAAGTAAGAAGGAGAAAAGCGAGGGAGTGCCCGTGGTGGTAATAGCTGCCACTGAAAAGGAAGTGGTTTCTCAAGCTCAAGTAGCTTTGGGGGGTAACCGTGGTGCCCCCTTTGAGAACACACAATCTACGGACTTGGTAGGGGCCGATCAGTTGGGAAATATTGCACTTGAGTCTGTTGGGATAGTCCCAGCATTGACAATTAAAACTGAACCTGAGGAGCTGGACAATATTGAATGCCGAACATTGAAGAAGGTTAAAAATGAAAAGGTAAGAGTGCTGTTAAACAAATTATTGCTTGGAATGTTTCTGCTGAATGTGTATCACTATGCAAGACCAATTTGCAAAAACCTTTGCCAAGCTGTAGGTTCAGATTTCATTCCATTCCATTTGAGATTTGGTTTTTGGTTGAACTATGTTTTAACTTTTAAGTCTTTATTGGAACATGATGTAGCCTAGTCAGGGGTTTGGAGCTGTGCCATCTATTTCTCACCACTTCAGTTCAGTTTATTATCTACTTGAAGACATTGCCCTCATTTCACGTCAGTTGTGAGTATCAGTAAGTACAATCTGATCATGATGGCTTTTTTGAAATATCTCATCAAACAGGAATATCCTAGAATCATTTGAAGAGCTTGGCTACGGTTCATTATTATTAAAATTGTCTGTGGTTATTAAACTTCATAAATATCATAACATGTTCTACACAGGATATTTGTTTTCCCAAATGAATCAATTAGCCTGCTGACTAGCTAGCTGATTTCTAATGGCAGCGCTAGTTTTTCCTTCTTCAAACATAGACATTGTCATGCAAGAAACTCATGAACAGTTGCTTAACTATTTACCCGTACTTATCCTGTTTCCTCATTGAGCTGGTCTGTCAGTGTGTGTATTGTGTGCTCAGAAACAGCCTTTTCATGCTCTGTTAGTACCAGCAGTGGAGGGAGGTGCTGGGGACTGTTTTGTCTGTCGTCGTGTTCCATTCTTAATCCCACAAGCCCCAGCAATGCCTGGTGGGTGGGTGGGGGAGGGGGTGGCAGAGCACGCCCTCACTTTCGCTGCTGCTCTGAAAGTGAAGTGGGGGGGAAGGGCCTTCGAAGAGGCAAGTTTCCCCTGTCAGGAATGCAAAGCCGTGGAGTCTCCTCAGATAACTCAAACAGGGAAGGAAATCTAAGGGCAAAAGGCTTAGCAATCAGAAAGTACTCAGGCAACCCAATGAGCTCAGCGTGGATTGGGTGACGACCTTGAACAAAGGGAAAGGGTCAGTCTAAGCACTGGGTTCATAGACAAACGAGGGTCTCCAGAAAACGGTTGCCGATAGAAGTGTTTCACTGAATTAATATCTGATTCCTTGAGACCCCATGGAAGTTGTCCCATGCCACGTTCTAGATTTGTAAGCTCAAGGCCTACATTGAAACTAAGGCCTAGATACCATGGACGTCTAGACCACGTTAATGATGAAAACAATATGTACTGCCCCGTTTTATGACATTGACATGTACAATGTTTGTTTTTCAAATGCTAAAATTAACCTAATCTTTATCAATGTTGTCCAACATGTCTCTCTTCTCCATGTGATGGGTGTTCCAGAGTTCAAATCACATTTTCCCAAACTGTAAACAGTATCAATAATAAAAGTCAAGAAGAGATTTGAATAGCATGTTAAGTCATCCAGTTAGTAGCTTATTAGAGGTTCTGATCTTTAATAAAGGTGTTGTACGTGATGAGGCAAGTGCTCTGCCTTCTAGACATTTGACGGTAACTGGGTGTGATTATTTGCCATCTCAAATGCAGTCATTCTTTCTCTTTAATGATGAGTTACTTACTCATGCTCTTATCCTCTTTGAATGAGTGTGCCGCTGTGTGATCGCACTGTCTCCATCTTAGGACAGAGCTCCTAAAGCATTGGCTCTTGATTCTGGAATAAATCATCTCTGCTCCCTCAACGACAGCACTGCGCTCTCTCGCTCATTATACAAGCCTGGAGGAGCCAGGCATTCGTCAGCTGCCTCGACGTGATGCAGGACCTTGACGAATGGAGCAGCTCTCATGGAAAATTACATTAGCAATGTCAGTTCAATAGAGGAAGGAGGAGAAAAAAAAAGGGTCTGTGCTTGAGAGAGAAAGGGCCTGGCCACCACTCGGTGTAGTCGCTGATGTGCAGTTAGGGGAGAAAGGGCCTGGCCACCACTCGGTGTAGTCGCTGATGTGCAGTTAGGGGAGAAAGGGCCTGGCCACCACTCGGTGTAGTCGCTGATGTGCAGTTAGGGGAGAAAGGGCCTGGCCACCACTCGGTGTAGTCGCTGATGTGCAGTTAGGGGAGAAAGGGCCTGGCCACCACTCGGTGTAGTCGCTGATGTGCAGTTAGGAGAGAAAGGGCCTGGCCACCACTCGGTGTAGTCGCTGATGTGCAGTTAGGGGAGAAAGGGCCTGGCCACCACTCGGTGTAGTCGCTGATGTGCAGTTAGGGGAGAAAGGGCCTGGCCACCACTCGGTGTAGTCGCTGATGTGCAGTTAGGGGAGAAAGGGCCTGGCCACCACTCGGTGTAGTCGCTGATGTGCAGTTAGGGGAGAAAGGGGTCTCACGAGAGCTAGCTTTTTTTCCTTTTCTTGCCTTTGATCGACTGACTGGTGCTATTGTGTGACAGCTCATTCCTTTTAACTAGCACCAGGGCTTTGAGGACTCTAGAAGAGAAGGGATGATGAGTGGTTTTGAAGGGAGTGTCAGTTACGTAGACGAGGGTAGGCTATACCTGTTCATATAGGCTGGTTAGCCTAATTCTAACCAGACTTGATGTGTAGGCCTAAACACAGAAACTTTGCTGTTGTCCCATTGTTGTAATTTTTGTGTGGAAAAACAAGGCGACGCAGCAAACAGGGATTGGGAATAAACATATTTCCCCAATCCGTTCAGCCAAATCCTACCTGGAATGTGAACTTGCTTGGTCCTGCTGAGGCACCTTGCCGTGAAGCCACATTGTTTTAGCCCCATGACGTAGCCTTCTTTTCAGCCTAGCCTAGACCTGTTCCTTTTCAGCTGCTGCCTCACCAATATCAGTCTTGGTTAAACAAAGCATTATGAAATGTAGCCTAAATCTACTGTTAAATGACTAGACTTCGCCCCGTGGAGCGGACAGGGACTGAATTCTAAGCCCTATTTTCAAAGCAGAGATGGCCCGCCATCATCCGATAAAGAGGCAAGCAGTGCAGTGCTCTGTTGTCGCCTCAGGCGAGCGTGGAGAAGTGATTCCTCTTGATCAGCAGACTTGTATGTTCCGTGTGATTGCAGCAAATGAAGAGCCCCCATTCAGGCTGGCGTGAGAGGCCTCTGTAGGTAATTGGAATCTCAAAATTGAGCTCAAATGGTTATCTTGTTAAATGCTTTGAAGGGCAAGAATGATTGAATGACCTAATGCTTGGAAGTGTGTTTCGTCATAGTTTTTACTGTGTCTAATCAATGGCGTTTTCTTTGCCTTGGTGGTAACCATCCATGCTTGAATTGCTTTTCCTGGTATTAGCAGCCTTGACTTGTTATTCCTCAAGGTGTTATTCTGTTCACTAGGGTCCTCACAGCTATGTGTCAGTGGTATAATTCATTGCCAATAATGAACATCCAATGTGAAAAGGAACAAGCCACACTCCTTTCCCTGGCTCTCCCTAGCTCTTTGGCTTGTGCTTGGCCTCCTCCTTTCCCTGGCTCTCCCTAGCTCTATGGCTTGTGCTTGGCCTCCTCCTTTCCCTGGCTCTCCCTAGCTCTTTGGCTTGTGCTTGGCCTCCTCCTTTCCCTGGCTCTCCCTAGCTCTTTGGCTTGTGCTTGGCCTCCTCCTTTCCCTGGCTCTCCCTAGCTCTTTGGCTTGTGCTTGGCCTCCTCCTTTCCCTGGCTCTCCCTAGCTCTTTGGCTTGTGCTTGGCCTCCTCCTTTCCCTGGCTCTCCCTAGCTCTTTGGCTTGTGCTTGGCCTCGACCATTGCCCGGCTGTAATTACATTGGAAACAAAGCTTGTTGGCCCATCATGCCTATTTTTAGTTGATTTGACAACCTACTGTTGAGAGAACCTGCGTGTGTGTTTAGATACGTGTGTGTGTGTGTGTGTGAGGAACAGATGAAGGGAGGTATTTTGCAGCAGCGGACTCAGTCAGTGCTGCTGTGATTCCTGTAGTGCTACCTCTGTCTGTTAGAAACGCTCGCCCTCAGGGAGCCCCCCCCCCCAGTAAAAACACTCAACACTAATTGTTTTCCACGTCTGTCATTAGCCTCTGTCTCCACAACAATGTAAAAGGCTGTGAGGCTAAGCACAAACACAGGGCTTTAAAAAAGGGAGGGTTAGTGACAGCAATTCTACTTTGCCCACCTATTTAGATAAAGCTATAGACTTGGATTATTGAGGCTAGATCTAAGGTCAGTTAACTTTTGACCCCTTAATGGTGTTAAGGAGATAAGGATTGTGTAAACTGATCTCCAACCACTTCTTGGTTGAGCTAGTCTATTTCTCTCAGATCCAGAAACATTTAGGCTTGAGTTTGCCTGAGGTTGCGGTGGAATTCACTGTTTAATGTGTTGCCTTTGTCTCCTTATGAAAAGGACACATTTTATTCATTCTCCCTTTGTTTCCTCAAAGCACGTGCAGGCAAGCTGTTAAATGCCTTTGTCTGGGCTCTTCTGAATTTCTCAAACTGTCCTTTCAAGTGTTTATGTAAATTGAGATCAGACAAGCGTTCATAATACTGAGAAAAATACCCAACATTTGTCACAATCTTAATGCTCAAAATTGGTGCAGATGTCGGCATAATCCATTCACATCAATATTATGCTAGATTCATTTTGGCGTCCCAGAAGAAAACAGCTTTGAAACTGGAATGTGTGTCAGTGTTGCTACTGGCTGCTCTGCAGCAGGAAGAAGTTGGCTTCGGTATGTGGGTCTTGTTTCCTTTACAACTTTCCCCACTTAAGAAAGTCTTATCTGTGTTTGCTATTGTGTAGGGTGATGAGGCAACAAGATGAAGTGGGAAATACTGATTTATACTCAGCAAGCAAGCGGCTGAAATCCTGTCATGGCATATTCTGCTGTATAGTCACCACTTAGCCTTTTGCTCTCTCTTTACAGTCTCCCGCTCAGAAACTCCTTCCCATACAATTGTGTTTCTTTGTTCTGTAGGCTAGATGGCGTGAATGATTCGTTAACAGTCGAGGTCACATGTCTACCCTCAAAGATGTCTATATTTAACCAGCAATTTGCCAAAACGTTGCAGTTTGCTGTCAGCTAGCACAGTTCTCTCTTGTCCTTTTCAAAAGGGTACAGCTGGGAGAATTTGCATTACTGCCAAGAACATCTTACCGAATGTTTGTGCGGTGGCCTCAATGTACCGCTACAAAAGGAGCCTTAGCTCATGGCTATTTTTTTTATTGGGTTGTCGTATTGGTAGTGTTCAGTGTCTCTTTACCGTGGTGGGGATGAAAGCGCTGCGAGGACAGTGACTCCACCTGTAGCAGAGCCATTCCCAGAGCTGATTCTGCCTCAGGAACAGGGTCGTTCCCCATCCCCCACGGTCAGTCCAGAGGCCTCGTCAGTGAATGGGAATGGGAAAGCTGCGGGCCACTAAGTTTATAGTCCTGTTGGACAGTGTTCCAGGAAATCCTTGTCAAGAGCCATGAGAGACCCTTGTGTGGAACTATTTAATATTGGAAGCCAGTCCTCACTGGTCATAAACTGTGTCTGTAGACATTTAGCAGCCCCCTTGACCTGGACAACCCCGGGCTTGATTTGTGCCCTCTTGTTCCTTTCTAAAGGCTGCTGAGAGCAGTGAAAGATCTGCTTTTGCACACAACAGAAGACATTTCCTTCCAGCTAGGTTTACATTGAATTAAACAAACTCACCGTCATCACAAGGATTACGATGTGTTCCGTAAGACAACAACACCATTGTCTTAAAGAACAGTTGAAATGTGTACGTTCTGCATTCCATTTGCTGTTGCTCATAACCTAGAACGGTTTGGAACAGTCTATTTAGGCTAGCCATTGTTGGCCTAATCATTGTAACCCTTTTAATCATAGATCTTTTGAAAATGGAAAACTGTTGGCCTGTGCATGTTCTGTAACCTACTTTTTTTTTTTTTTTACATATACCCCATATGTAAAAAAAAAAAAAAAAAAAGTAGGTCAACAGGGGAATGTGCCTGTTTTTAATTTGCTCCTGAAGGTGTCGCAATAAAATGTTGACTTTCACAAAGCTTGTCGAGAAGCCTAAAAACCTCGCTGCACCATGCTGGGAGGCCACATGCTATTTTGTCCCCCCTCTATTGGGATAACAAGGAGACTTTGGTGGGAATGGCAGCACTGTGGTCTGAGCCTCCATGCTGTCACTATCAGTGTCCATTGGGATAATTTCTGTTTTTTTAGATTTTAGTTTTTCCAAATTCATGATGTTCTGAAATCTAACAGAGGGATACAGTTATTTACTTTCCTATTGAGTGATAAGCTGGCTACCACATCGGAGGCTAGATTGTAGATTAGGCTAATGTAAAGTAAATGGAAGAGGAGGCTTATAATAATAGTGAATAAGCCTGTGAATTGATCTGTGTTCATATTGTTTGAGTTACTGAGTAAGTCTTATTTGAATGCCCTCGTGTTTTCCTCAAGTACCATAGGCTATTTATGTTAAAACGTGAGCTTTCCCTGTGTACACCTAGCAGCAATATCCTCATAGAAAATGTATGGGGAGGTTGGCTTCAAGGTCGCAAAACATCTTTGGCTAGTCCTGCAAAAGTGATCACAGATCTGCGACACAAAGCCCTTTCATGCCTCGTCTTTCCCCAGCCACCTCTGTCTCCTAAGTTTGTACAAGGCTAGGCGTGTGTGTGTGTGTGTGTGAGTCTGTGGATCAGTGTGCTGTCAGGGAAGCATGTTGGGGGGGGGGGGGGAGGCGGCTAGCCCGCGCTGGGGGGGGGAAGGGAGAGAGGCTAGCCCGCGCTGGGGGGGGGGGGGGGGAGGCGGCTAGCCCGCGCTGCTAATTCAGCTCATAAAAGACTTAAGCAGTGAGAGCAGCTGTCTTCCATTGTCAGACAGCAAATTTCCAACGCGCCTCATTTCGCCTCTCAATGCGTGAGTAGCAGGAAAGCCGGGTGGAGTGGGGGGGGGCAGAGGGGAATGAACAAACAAACAAAGAACGAGAGAGAAAAAGGAGAAGCCCAGATTTTGAGGTTTTGATGGTCTTGAGTCGATGTATTTTCTCTACTTAGGGGTGGGGTGAATGTGGAGTTGGGTCAACGTTCTAATAATAAACCATGAATCTATTCATACGCCAGCTACACAAGGAAATAGGGGCTCTGCTGTGGTGAGGGAAGATAGGGCACGTGATGGGTAGAAGAGGGAAATGGGGGGGTAGAGGAGGGAAATGGGTAGAGGGGACAAACTGGGGTTAAGGAAGGGGGGAGGGGAGGACAGCGTTATGAATGGATCACCGTTAGCGGAGTTACCAATAACCTGATGCATCCGGTTTTCAGGGATACAACCATCTTCATCCTAGCTTCATTTTCCGCTGAAAACCGGATGTGAGAATTCCGCTCAGGCGTTTCTTTTACGCCTGCTACGTTAGGTTATGAATGGATGAAGTCTTTAACCCCCTACACACTGAATGGTTTGTCTGCGCTGCTTCTGCTGCATGGGGCTGGTGGAGGGAGAGGCTGGCTGAAAGGAGAGGCTGGCTGAAAGGGCTGCTCTATTAAGGCAAACACAGTTATAGGGTTCCTGAATCCTTGAGGCATGTGGTCTGATTAGCAGAACAAAACCCACACAGTGGGGAGGAGCAGACGTGGCTTGCCTCTGGCCTGGAATGTTCTGCCTGTGAGGGGAAAGCTGGCAGTCTGTTACAGAGTCAGTCTTGTTGTATTGTGTGTTTCAGGATTGTTGCCTGTTTTCGAAGGGTTTGGCTTAGTGCATTCTGTGGTGTGTCACTAGTTTAGACCTAGGCTGTACAATACATGAAACTGTCTTTCTTCCTCCAGGCCTTAGCTCATTTAGTGGTTTGTCATTTTGTTGAAAGTGTTAGCTGCATTATGAAACCACTCACTGTTGGACAAGCTTCCTCCACAAGGAGACATTCATGACTCGATCGCTCATGGAAAAACTCACCCGTTTATTTTCAGCTTGAAAGAAATGTAGATTTGTGCGTACTGTAGGTGTTGGTGAGGCAACTCTTCAAAAAGGTTTAGCTAGCTAGGGCTTTCAAGGTAGGAATGTGAACCCCCCCCATTGAGTTCCTCTGTGCGAGGAACTTTCCTCCATAAAGAAGTGTAGTGGGAGAGAAGAAAGACTGGAGGCAGCTTCTATAAAACGGGGAGCTGGAAGAGAGATTGATGTCTGTGTGTGCTGCCAACCTGCGGCTGCCATTAGTAATCTTGTCTTTTTCCCTTTCTTACCACTTTGCTTTAGAAAAAAAATTATGATTTCAGAGGTTTCTACTTCAACTAAGAGGGGTTATTTTTACATTATGGGTAAACCAGAGGATTGCCTATTAACAGTCAATTTACAGGGATAGTTTTTTAGCCTGGTTTGGTTTTGAGAACATACACAGTACATTGGAAATCACCTAGATTTCTGCTTGTTGTTTAAAAATACCTGATGTTGGCCACTTCTTGGAAAATACCCTAATCCCTTGGCAAATCTTATTTCCACTTAAAGCCTCCTGCGTCAATTGAATGCTCATCCTTACTATTAGTTGAGACTGGCTGAGATCTGCTACTCTGCTGTACTATATACTGCATTCAAATCGTTGTGCTGTGTCCAGTGGCCAAAGCATGCCTGCTATTTGCTTGGCTCAGCTTGCCTGTGTGGTTAGTCTAATTGGTCCGTTAAATCCACTGAGTCAGAATGAAACCACTGGCATTCATCTTATTTTTATTACCCTGTTTCTCAAGCCACTCTTATAGGCTTGAAATGCAAGTGAGCGTTTACAGGTTAGCCTGTTGTTCAACCTGAGGTGTCGTTCCCCGTTCCTTTTCCCTTGTAGCAAGTCATTTTACTGCAGATTGAAAGAGTCTGGTTTCAAATAGGATTATCTTCATAAAGGTAGGCTATATATCCAGTTCTGCTCTCCGTGAAAGAGAGGCTTTGGTATTTTGCTAGTGACTGAGGCTCCATTCTACCCTGTCCTCTTAGGAAAATTCCAAAACCTGTGTCTCATTGATTGGTAAGAACCAGGGTAGCAAGGTGTCAGGACCTCACATTTCACCCTGGAACTGAAATCACTACCGTCATTTAAAAACTACACTCTGCAGAGTTAGTGCCAGCTGCTCTATACAATAAGGGTGGTTAGCTGTGAAGTCTAGCCTATTGCGTTTCTTTTCCTCTTGCCGTTGGGCCTCTGTACCTTAGCAACTGTACCTTAGCAACTGTCTCTTACCAATAGACACCACTCTGTTTTCACATTGAAATACTGGTGAACCTACATAGGAGGAAGAAGGAGAAATTCACCATATTTGCAACATGGACTTAGCCCTGTGACTGAGACTGTTTGCCTTGTTACCCCATAGGCTTTTTCAAACATACAAATTAAAGCACACTTGCATTGTACTGTCCTACGGTTAACTTCAGGAAATTGCTGAGGAATTGTATACGTCAGTGAGGTGGGCTACATTTTTGGGCAAATGGGTTCAGTCTGGCTGGGCTGGTTTCGGCTCCCTACATTTTAAATATGTCCAACGCGGGATGATTGAATACAGTTATTTATATGTGAATTAGCGAAACAGCTAACATTAGCATTAGCCATTGGTGGATCTAATTAAGAAACGACAAAATATTAATGTGCAAATACTACTTTATGTGAAACAAATAGGGACAGTCGTTTAGAAGTGTTTCTTCAGGAAAAAACACATATTTTGGCAAAACTAGTGAAAGTACGCCAATATTTGCAAATCTGTTTTTGTTCAACCTAGGTTAGTTGACCTTTGGAATTCTATCAAATAAAGGGTTGTTCCTGTATTAGAAACAGACCATGAAAAGGCATTTTGAAGACCCTCTCTCTCTTGCTGTCATTTATCACCAGTCTTCAAGCTCCAACCACAATGTATTCTATGTTAAACCACTACTCCATCACATTACACAAACCCTATTTTACTCTAACCACAATGTCTAGCTACGTTGTTGCTGTTTTAATCGATGCCGTGTAGCCTACAGCTGTGGAAAAAATTAAGAGACCACTGCAAATTGTTCTTAAATCAGCATCTCTACATGTATGACAGCCATTCCATTCCAGTGTCTGTTGAATTCCAACACAGGCACACCTCATTCTACTGAATTAGGAACTGATTAGGTGATCACATGAACCAAATCTTATTTAACAAGGAAAAGTATAAAAACCACTGCTGTGGTCATCACTATCCTCTTGCAATAGGACCAGCTGGATGGCAAAAACAGTGCTAATAGTACCTCAAAAGTAATATTAATCAAAAAATAACTATTGACCATGCCAAAAGAGTTGAAAAGGAAAGTTTTGAGTGAGGAAAAGAAGGGTTCAATTCTGGCTTTACTGGCAGAGGGATACAGTGAGCGTCAGGTTGCTTCCATCCTTAAAATTTCAAAGACGGCGGTTCATAAGAACAAGGT